CGCGCCGCTCCCGCCGCGTCCCGCAAGGCTCAGGCTGTGTTCACCGAGCGTTTCCTTCGGGCTGCCCCACCGAACTGTTTCGGTTTATAACCTCTCTTTAGTCTCAGTCTTTTTAAAAACGTATTAAATAGGGGACCCGGCTTCAAATCGGCATTGTGCTCCCTGGTGCTGTTCCGTCTGTTGGGGGACAACACCAAACGCGTGTCTGTTTCTAAGCAGAGCCGACCTCGACTGCACTGATTGCAAAAATGGAGGAGATGATGGGGAGGAGAGTGGCGCATGAAGATCCTCTGGCAGTTTTTCTGGATGGACAGCTGTGCTATGAACAGGTTGTGCTTTCCTCCTTTTAAGTGACTATCATAAAGCTGACAATTTTCTGTATCGTTTCAGTGGAAAAAGAGACACTAAAAAAAAACGCTACAAGAGGTGCCTGGGACTGGTTTTATGCCATTAAAATCACCAGGTGTTTCCCCTAAACAATTTTTTCCTACACTTTCCCCAAGCATCTTGCAGTGTCTTCCAGTTCCCTCACAGGTCTCCTTAGGACCAGGTAAGTTAGCAGCAGTCTGTCCCTATAGCTAACTTCCAAACCAAGCTGTGTTTTTTGGCCAAAACCAATGCACTGTGTTTTCAGTTACCAGCAGTGGTCATCCCCGATCAAGACAGCTTTTTGTCTGTATTCCCCACCTAGCCACCAGCTTTGATGAAACTTGCTGAAACATGTTATATTCCAGATTTGTCCCTGCCTGCTTTGGCTAAAATTGCTCATCCATGTCTTTGAAGGTAAATGTGCATGGAAGGGTGCAAGACTGACTGGCAGGTGAACTTATACCTCAGCTGCTTAGTTGGGGGAGCTGGAAAAGAATGTAGTACAAGTACTGATTCAGGTATCTTCCAATGTGACGTGCATAGATTCAGTACTGTTTACAGTGCAGCTAGTGGCACAGTGTGAATCAGTCTCAAGGTCTGAAGCAGGAACAGAATGAACTTGCTCAGGGCTTCTGCATTCTGGGCCCTGTCCTTAATGTTTTTGTTAACCTGATTTTGGCATGATCAAGACTGACTCCATGGAGCAGATGACCTGTCTGTTTCTTGACAACCTTGCTTGGATGTTCACGTTATATATTGCTGTCCATCCCTAAATTTATTCTTTGAGCAAGTTTTAATTTTTATATATTTTATGTATGTCTGTAGTGCTTAAAAATGCATGTTTTTAATATTACTCCACTTTTAGATGTCAGAAAAAAAAAAAGCCCACTGCCTAATCAGAGCCATATGTCTCCTTACAGCATTAAATTCTCAGGAAAGGTGAGATTAAATGTGCCTCCTGTTCTTTTTCTGATATTCAGGATAGCTACTTGTAAAATGGAACTGTGGGGTTTTTTTTTTCCAGAGTTCTTTAAAGAAACAAAGTCCACACAGTCATAATGGCTAAGCTCCTGAGACAATTAGTAGTTTACAACCGCTTGGACAGTATTAACAAGGGGTCGGTGTTTTCTGCCGGTTCTGTGGTTGCAATTTTTTGTTCTTCATTCATGAGAAAAATGCTCCAGGTTGAAAAATTTTAAGGGAGTATCTACTGGAGAGCTAAGCTGCCATATATACTTGTTTTTCTGTGTAGTTCATTGTTTATTCTGTCTTTCCAGGGGTTGTATGAAGAAGCATTTAACCTATTTGAAAAAATTGAGGATACAGATTTTCAAGCAATGTATCAGCTTGGTGTAATGCACTATGATGGACTAGGCACTAACAAAGACCCTGTGAGTAACCTAGCTGCACACTTTTAATATTAGCTGATAATTACTAAGAGCTTCTTCATAAGCATGATTAATTATTTTAAAATAAACAGCTTTTTGATTAGAATTAGTTTCCATAAAGTACTGAAATTGAACATGTAGCAGGTTTAGGATGCAGCATTCATTTATGTAAGCACAATATCTTCAGAATTTTTTTATCAGTGAAGAAGAGTAATACAATATCAGATGAACATTTATGAGGAAATGTTTCATATTAAAAATATACTGGGGGCTGTCTAGTAACCAAAGATCAGTTCTGCTTTGGTATGGTGCTATTTTCCTGGCTGTGATACCAGTATGTCTTAGCCTTTCTTCAAAGTGGAAAAATTACCTGTCTTGCAAAAGTTAGTGCATTCTCAGATTCTTTATTGCATTCTCTTCACAGTCTGAATGTAATAACTTAAATGGCTCAATTTTAGGAAAGGGCAGTGGAATACATGAATAAAATACTCCACTCTGATTCTCCAAAAACAAGACACTTGAAGTTTGCCGCTGCATACAATCTTGGCAGGGCATATTATGAAGGATGTGGTGTTAAGCATTCAACTGAAGAGGCTGAGAGGTAAGGGCAGTGAGTGATTTCCCTGACAAATCTAAGATTCTGTGCTACTTAAACTTTCTTGTCACCATTTTCTTAGGTTGTGGCTTATTGCTGCAGACTCTGGAAATCCAAAAGCAAGTGTAAAGGCCCAGAGTACCTTAGGAATGCTTTATTCTATGCCAGTTCTAAAAGATCTGAAGAAGGTAAAGTCCACTTATACCTTTTGAAATGAAAACGAGCCCTAATTAATTTTTCATTTCACAGAAAGATTACAGTGATATATTTGACTGTGAAGGCTCTATTTTCAGTACTGTTAGGCATTATCATCCATTTAAGCCTGTATGAACAGAAGGCCAGAATCCATTTTGACTCACTTGTCGCTGCCAGCCAAGATTTATTTTTATATTTTTAGTGCGAGTATGAGGAAGAACGATAGAATGGATTTAAATTTTGTCAGCTTTGGTAACCTTCAGAAATCAAGCAGGTGTCAGTGACTGACAGCTCTGACAGTAAATTAAGCAGGTTTAAAAGCCTTACAGAGATTCTGATTTCTTTTATATATAAACACTTCTTACAGGATGGTTAATGTAAAAGCTTTTATGGAAAGAGTATTCAAGAAGAAAAGCTAAAGTAAATATATACTCCAACTCTGTGTCTCTGGTTTAGGCCTTTTTCTGGCATTCAAAAGCCTGTGCCAATGGAAGTCTGGAATCGCAGGGAGTGCTTGGTATTATGCATCTCTATGGACAAGGTACACGTCAAAACACTAAAGCTGCTTTGGAGTGTTTGAGAAAAGCAGCAGAACGTGGAAATAGCTATGCTCGAGGCCACCTTGTGGAATATTATTACACTGGAAAATTTTACTCAATGGCTGCTGCACTAGGCAAGAGGTGAAGTTAATTTTGCTTTATTTTTCATTATGGTTTTTCATGCAAGACCATGTAACTCAGATTAACATAATAAGCTAATACTCTTTCAAACTGAAGAGATGTTTGAGATTATGAATTGCAAAACATCATCTTTAAAGATGGAATAGTCACATCACAAAAGCAATACTGTAATGTTCTCAATTACTCAGTATGGTTGAACTTTTCTTTCTGATCCTATAAAGCAAAACAGCCCTGACGTAGAATCCCAAGTAGATTCCTATATGCCACCCTGCCTTCCTTGTCTCCTGGGTCCACCATCTCCTTTAGGCCTCTGCCTTCACCATTCCCTTTAAACCATTACAATCATAGGATCCCCAGGTTGCAAGGATCCTCAGGGATCATCTGATCCAACCTTTCTTGGCACAAGCATGGTCTAGACAAGATGCTCCGGCACCCTGTCCAGCTGAATCTTAGAAGTGTCCAATGTTGGGGAAATCTACCACTTTCCTTTACCTGTTTTTCTTTCTCTGGTATGCTTTTCTCTTGCTTTTGAGAAAGCTCAGAAGCTTGCAGTTAAACCAAGGTGGTATCTTGCTCCACCTACTTTCCATGCAAGTGGTTTCTGGTCAGTATCTGTTGCATTGAGGTCTGAGGCACTGACTGGCCTTGTCACAGTCAGTTACTGTGGGACTCTCTGCTGTACCTGCACACTCTGGAGTGGTTTGTGTGTTGCAGAAATAGTGACTTATGTTATAGCCTGCAGTATTTAAGATAGTTTGTTATCAAGTGTCTGTATCTTGAACTAGTCATGAAGGACAAGAGCAATGTTGGTGCCAGATCTACAGCTGACAAACACATTTGTGTGGCAAACCCTCAGAGCTTACCAGTGTATGTTAGAAGTTCAATCTGTCAGTCAGATTATTGATTTGCTGGAAATAAGCTGCAGACAGTCTGACTGCTTGCACAAGCTGCACACAACAGCATTCATGCTTTTTGGGGTATGTTAATGATGTTGCTGCTGCTGCCCAGCAATAAATATGTCACAACTTACCACCTTACAGAAGCTGCACCCTGTATATGCCACTGCATAGCAGGAGCTCTGGTAATTCAGTAGTTCAGCTATGAATGTTGTTTGCTATAGTCTATGCTGAAAAGGATTGTTTCTCTCTGAACTGCTGCTTTTATTTCTTTTGCACTGTAAGTAGACTGATAGCTATTCAGTCTAGTCTAGCCTGTCTTGCTGGGAATGAATCCCCTCCAGTCAATGCTGCATGGTAGATTATTTAGACAAGTAAACAGTGCATTTCATGAGCTGCAATTGTGATTGCAGAAAATAGCAATGGAATCCCACAGTACAGCCAGAAGTGACAATTTCTGAACCAAAAGATACTGCCACCATACTTGAAACAGTTCCACTTAATTAGAATTGCAGTTGGCTGAGGCAAAAATCTCAGCAGTTCAACCAGTAGTATCAAGCATCAATAGGTTTTCTGCTAAAATTTGTCCTACATTCATACCAATTACGTAGTTTGTTATATTATGCACAAGCATACAAACATCATGTGATTATGTACAGTGTAACTCTGCCTAATATTTGGAGTCTGGATTAGCTGCTGATACTTCAAATAATTTAGTTATCCCATACAGCTCTACTTACCCGTTGCTATGGTATGTTCTTGAAGTCAGCTGAGCTAAAATAGAATTTTTGCCTGACTTGACTGGGTATTGTTATTTGCATCAGCATCCTGTGGTGCATCTTCTGAAAAGGAAGGCAAAAAAGCTACATATCAGGAAAGATAAGAGAAGTAATATGTTACTGTTGTTATATTTGAATGTTCTTGCTAATAAGAACAGTTGTGTTAATGGGACCAAATTAGGTGGGAGAACATTGCTTTCAACACATTCAAGTGCTTTATCAGGCACTGACTTGCAGAGGGCTAATGGAGAACAATCTTTCATAAACACTGATTTATAGTGAGTAGCTATAAACTGAAATGACTTTCACTTTTCCTTTTTTTTCTGCCAAGTCTGCAACTATTTGACACAGCTGAAATGAGTGAGAAAGTATATAATTACTGTTTGGTTACAGGAAAGGATAAGGGGCTTGGGGGGTTCTGTTTTAAGAGAACTGAAAAAAAAAAAAATCAATTCCCACATCGACAATGTTTTATGTAATATTAGAGTGAAAATACTAGGTAATTGCAGCCTGATAAGTTAAAACAATGTTCACTTTATCACTCAGATTCTTAAAATGGTTCTTACTAAAAACAACATGCTGAAAACATGAAAGCAAGCTTGCATAAGAAAGGAAATAATTGAGCTGAAACAGTTCTAAGTGGTTGCCCTAAGTGAGTTTTATAACCAGAGGCTCTCAAGTACATCCAAGACTTTTAGGCTACTATGATTTGCCAATATTCCATAAGACCTTGGAATTTTAGAATCACACATCATGGGCTGGTTTGGGTCGGCCCTTTAAAGATCATCTAGTTCCAACCCCCTTGCTGTGGGCAGTGCCATCTTCCACTAGATGAGGTTACTCAACTACATGAATCAAGAGGTTTACCTTCCTTCCACATATAATTGCCATGAAATAATTTAATAGGAATAATTAGTGTAAAATATGTTGCCTTTTATAACAAGCACAACTATAGTGAAAGTGACTGCAGAAGTTATATATTTGCTTGCTGATTAATATCACAATATTCAAATATGACTAACTTCAAATCAAATAGTGAACAGAAGAATCCTCATAAAGATACTGAATACATGTAAATTTCAGCTTGTTTTGGATAACAACATAAATGGAAAGAAGGCGTTGTCAAACTCATATATGATCAGCTTTAATTACTGCTTGAACTTGCATTATCTAACCTAATGCTCTAAATTCCACAACAGGACTACAGAAAATGATGATCATGATATGCTAGCCAAGGCAACTGATTGTCATCCAAAATATGTAGCCAAGGGGATTGCTATGGCAGCTTTCTACTTGGCTAGATGCCTCCAGCTTGGCCGAGGTGTACAACAAGATCAAGATGCTGCTAATATATACTACTCTAAGGTTAGTTGAAAAAGTCTTAGAGATTAATTTGTAACTCAAGAAATTGAGTGATGCCTTGGGTTTGAGTCTTTAAATTTGCTGTTTAGTTAAAAGACTCCAACATTATTTATGTTAAAAAAAAAAAAACTGTGCAAGGAAATGTAGAGTGATAAAAGTATATTGAAAACTACTAAAAATAGTCTTGAAAGGATGCTATCTTCCCACTTGCTTAAGCAAACAACACGTTGTGCAACACCAAAAAAGAAAAGGAAAATCTGTGGTAATCACCACAGCAAAAAGCTTGGTAACTTGCAAGATAAATTACTTAAACAATTTGAATCATTTTATCCCAAATTGACTTGCTTTCTGTCAGTCTCAAACTGAAAAATCCTAACTTTTCCTCTGCTTTATGTTCTGTAACAATTATGACCTTCATTAATGATACTTAAATTGGCCATAACTGGTTCTTATGCTTATCTTTATGTTTACATTTTTAGCACCAGCTGAGCATCTACTGTTACTGATACACTGTGGGGAAAAAAATCAGACACATTTTTTTGAAGTTCTAAATTTAAGTAAAATATATTGCTTGAGGAGAAATGTCAATAGAAGCTTCCAAAAGATGAATCTAAGTAATATCAGTGATGCCTAAAGATACATCAAGGCAAGATGATTATAGCAGCTGAAGGGAGTGTACAAAGCAAGTTTGGCTCTGTGCTTCAGAGAGACTCCCTGATTTCTGTGCATGAAGTTACCATTTGTTTCTGCAAGTAGAATACTTTGATGTCCACCTTGGTGCAACCTAAAAGAATGGAGAGTTATGTACGTGATAACTTACCAAGTAACAATTTTTGTGGCTCCTTACTCAGGGAAGCCACTGATGTGAGAGGCTTAGCAGAGTAGCTGATCTTCTGAACACACATCTTAAAAGTTTTGTTCTCCTGCTGTGAAAATAGTTATAGTGGAGAGGATGAGGAGGAGATCAGGAAAAGAATATAAGCTGAGGTGTTATGAACACTGTAGCCAGTATCCCTGGTTAAATCTTAAAGCATGGAAGAGGCCCATTGGGATCAAAATGCTGCATGGCTTTGTGGGAGTATAGCCCTTTCCACTGTCTTATGAAGTCTAGCAAAACCACCACAACTGAACGAAGATTACAGCTTTCACTCATTCACTAGCTGTACATCTGAGAATGATCTAGGAATTTCACTAGCTTCTCAATATAAAAAGAGGTAATTCCTACTGACTGGCATCATCCACCTCTAAATCAAGAGCAAAGAGAAGGAACACAATATAAACAAGGGAGCTTCCTCAAGCAGGAACTTCAGAACAACTAAGAGAATTGTTGGGGTGTCCAGGATTTTTTGTACCTGGAAAACTCTCATGTTAACTGTACAATTACACTTACTTAAAAGTTAAAATCATGTTTGCTTTTTTTTAAATTAACTACTCAGCTGTGGTTTTGGCCTACCATTCTTATACCCAGTCAGTTCCGAAAGAGGTGAGAAAGAGAAGATGGGCATCCTTGAGCATACTGAAATAGATGATAGAAGCAAATGACACTGACCCAGTCTGTAAGCAGATTTATATTTCTGACTATGACGCCAGCACATGCCCTGCCAACAAACAGAACTTAAAAAAATAAACTCAAGACTAACACTCTAGTCAAGTATGCTAATTTTAAATACTGGGGGTTTTTCTTACATGGCATTAGAAACAGGGATTTAAAGCCTGTAGCTTTAAATTTAAATTATTGTAGCTATAAACTAGAACTCTGCTGTTCTTTGTTTTCAAAGGCATGCGATCTGGATCCTGATGTTGCTTCTCACCTTGAACTGGCAGCTAATCTTGGGAGAATTTAGTGTGACCTTTAATTGTGACTGGTATATAGATGTATTTCCTACAATAAAGCATCATTAATCTCCAGTAATCACAGACTGTTCATTAGTTCTTGCTTTTCAACTTTCTGTAAATTCTTACTTAAAACAATTTACTGATCATTCTATCTAAAACAAAGAAAAAAGCTCACACTTTTTCTTTAACCGAGACAAAGCCAAGTCAGACTTTTAAAAATAGTATTGAAGACATAAAGGTTTATTAAGGACATTTCACTGGGACAGATGTATTTTCTTCATGTCATACTGATATACAGCACATGAATCAAATCAGAACCAAATAAAAACGGTTGTTTCCTTTCTGCACATATAATGTTTAAACTTCAATATTCTGAAAAGCTTGAACCAAGACTAGTTTTCCCACAGAGCCCACTCAAAGACCATGGCCATTCTTAAAGCTTAGTTTTGTTAGTGGTGTGTATAACTTTCTTTTCTCATGCTCTCTAATGCATCTAGATCTACTTAAGTGTCTTTATGCATGTTACTCTTGGATTGCAGAGATTCAAAGATGGAAACTGGCTGGTAAGACACTAAGCTTTAGAGTTCAAACCATGCCAGCTTCTAAAACTGGAAAATACTACTTACAGAACTACGGAAAAAACCAAACCCAAACAGTAGTATAGAAATGCTCAATATCCCTCCTCACCATGAGGCCTGTTCTCCTCAATCCTTCATACTGCATTTACGCTGCCTCTGTTTGTATTAGAAACAGTTGAAAGCCTTTTGGCTAGGAGTATGTATGCCTAAGCTGAATCTTTCATCAGAAGATACTCTGATTAACCACTAGTAAGACTTAGTGATTGCTATGGTCAGCTTGCACATTTCTAAATGCCCATTTACTTACAAAACTTTTTAAGTGCAGAATTTGGCTTGAAACTGTTAGAACAGAAGGCTGGATGTTACTAAAAACAACTTAAATATAGCATATGGATTTTATGTCCCTGACAAAACAGCCAGTCTTAACTGCAAATAGTTTTTCTATGAGCACAAAGTACTGAATTGAAAAGACAGTAATGAGTGTCACCTAGGGAATTTCGATGATGTTTAATTATTTAGATGTGCATTAAGACCATATTTACATATTTTTACATAAATTAAAAAAAAAAGAAAAAAGAACACTGAAGACAGTTTTCCTTCCTTGTATAAAATAAGGGGAAAATTTGAAGGTTGTTTGAAACTGGGGTAATTTGAATAAAACTGCCCTGAGTAATATCAGGGAAGTTATATTAGAGTGGTTTACTTAAATGTCTACTTGATCATTCATAGAAGCAATTCATAAGCACTAATCTCAGAACTAACATTTAACACAGGCATTGTGTTAGGACATACCAGTTTACAATACATAATTTTGACACAGACTTCAAAGCAATGTGGATATTTCTTACGAAACTAGTGCTGTCAAACTCATTCGTTAGTTGTCAGTACAGCCTCATTATCAAGTACTGCAATCCAGTTGTGATGTTTATTGCTTACAAATGCTTCAAACTACATGAAATCTTTGGTAAAAACAAAATTGATAAAATTTTCACAATAGCTTTACATGTAGTATTGCACAACAAGGCTTTTTCAATACACAAGAGAAAAAAAAGGAATGCTCAGATCCTCAGTGAGGAGATTAGAACTGTACAACATTCATTAGTTTACCACTATAAGCAAAATTTCTTTTCATCAATGTTTAAAATATTTTCTGGTTTCTTTCAGCATATATGAACATTTATTTTTCAATCTATATTTGAAACAGAAGAATAGTCAAATAGAACAATTTAAATAAAAATTGGCAGCTATACAGCATTGTTTTGTCTATCCTACTACAGCATCAGATCTTTTCAAGTCTGTTTACTTCACAAAAAACTCAAGAGGAAAGAAAAATGCTAAAAATAATCATAGTCCTCAGCCCTCTATGGAAAAGAGGAAAATAAGTTTCATGTCTATTATTGAACATAGACATTTCTCTAGTGGTCCAACTGTGCAGATTCAAACCTATGTGGCATTAAGCTGCTCTAAATGAGCTCTCAGCTCAGGACACAGTTCAGTTAGCAGCAGTTCCAGCAAAACCTGAAAAACAGAAGAGAGTTAAGATGATGGAGGTGCCAACCAAAGGAGAATTTCCTTTTTCTTTCTGTCATGTTTAGAGCATCACAGATAACAGAAGCATGTAGGTTCAATTCTATTCATCATTCATGCAACACTCTTCATTCATCCTAAAGGTAGCACATGCCCTACAGATAACATGGGAAATGTCTTAAGGCTGAAAGGAAACAAGGGCTAAGGCAGTTGCTTTCAGATGGGGATTTCCCACCCGGGATAAAATAGTGCTGTTCTGTTAAAGACACATCAGCAACATAAGTAAGCACCAGGGCATGTCCCTCCCAATCAAGCTCCTGAGACTGCTCAGCATCTCTCTGGTGCTGAGGCTGCATTGTGTTCCTGATTGCTGTCTGAAATAAGCCAGAAAGGACTGACTGATTGTGAAGGTATTATACTTAGATGCAGCTGCATATTCCAACTAGTCCCAACAGTTGAGAAGTGGGACTTTTAGAGGGCTGTCATGTCCTAACTGTGAGTCAGTCCTGGAGTTCTCCTTCCTTCCCTAGGATTCTCCATAGTAGGTCTATTTTCCTAAGCTGTATGAAGAAATTAGTTTGCACCTTATGCACTCAGGTAGGTTGAAGATCTCTTTTAGACAAAAGCGATGCAGCTCTTAAACAGCCTTTTGTTATTCAAACTTAGTCAAGTTATAGAACCAAGTACATTTTTCTGACTTATTTTAAGAACAAAAAAAGCTACTTGCACACAGACCAACAGTCCAGAGCAAATCTCTGCAGAAACACACTCCCACCCTTCCCTGGACTAATACTGAGTGAGCAGAGCTCAGCAATTAGAAGAATTATGAAGTTAAAAAGCTACTTTTCTGGTTACTCACATAAAGTAGATGCTTGTTAGCCTTTCTTTCTTGCAATGCATTGAACACTTTCACTACACCATGACGGGCATTTTGTTGTCCAACAAGATTCTGCAGAGTATCTGCAACAAATGTTACTTCAGCTTACATAGTTTCACTCAAGCTAGGCAAAACATCTAGCCAACACTACTACAAAGAATCAGAGTCATCAAGATTGGCAGAGACCTTCAAGATCATCCAGTCCGACCCTAACGACCCACAAAGGAGGGGAAACAAACCACTGCACTTCACGGCCCTCAGTTACAAGGTACAGAGTCCCCAGTCCCCAACCTCTTAAACACACAGGTAACTTACGTCACAGCTTGAAAAGATAACTTGGGTAACTTGAGAATAAGGGTAAGTAATATCAGATGCATCTCAATGACAACATTTGAAGTGTTTTAATGTGATATATAGTATGCCTTTTTGGTAGTTCACCTCACAGAGTCGAGTCTAATTTATACATTATCAAATTATTCACTCAAATACACCTTCAGCCACAAAAACTAGAATTCCTACAACAGTTAAAACAGAGTTACCACTTGAATTGCCTCTCAATCTTCAGAGAGATTACTTCCCACAAGCAAGCAGATAAGAGAATTCTTAGTCAATTATTTACAGTTTGGATTTAATTACAGAATAACCACTGATCCAGTGCTCTGTCATTAATTTAAACTGCATTCAGCTATGTCCTGACATATGGCTCCAAACTCAGAAACAAACAAACAGAAAAAATTAAACAAACCCACAACTATGGAAGGGTGTTTAGGTAAGTAGGTGAGTATAGAACAGAGGGAGTAAATGGAGGGTTGTTTACACATCAAATGACAAATATTTTGCATGCATACCTGCTGCTATTTTTGCAGTAAGAGTTGATTAAACAACATAATGCAAGAGCGTACACGAGATATCTCAGTGAAGCCAATAGATAGCTCATTCTATTCAGATGAAGAAGAGACAAAAAGCATTCAAGCTACATTTAAGTGCATTTTCAAGTGCTAAAGGTAATGATTTTGTTCCTTCCCAGTAAGGTGCTGTTGGGTTTATGTGATCTCTAGGCATCAGAATTACATAACTGCACTTCCTGTCCTGTGAAAGGGACAGGACGGAGCATTTCAGGATGGTGCCCTAGAAAAGTGTTTGCTGAAGAGAAAGCTGCCTAGGCTTGGGAGGCAAGGGTAGGCAAAGGAAAGTACTTGAAAACCCACTAGATCTAGGGTCGCCTTTTGTCCAGGCTGCAGATCACTCTAACATTCAGTACCCTGAGAAATAGCAAAACACATGACTGACAGCACGGGTAGACCTCTCTCTCTCTCCAACTTCGAAATATAAGAGGAAGAAGCAATTGGAGTAGTGCTGCTCTCCCTATTTGTCAGGCAGTTCCAGGCAGCACAAGCACCTCTTATTTGCTCACAGAGAACCATCAGAAAGTGTGTCTTGACTGAGGTTCCTTCATGAATAGTACACATAAGTACAGTGATACTGGATTTGTCACCCACCAATAATAACTAAATCCATGCCCTTTACCAGATCAGCAGGAGAGGGCAAAGAGTAAAGCCAAAATTATCCTTATTTATGCAGATAACCATAATTTAGAGCTCTACAGAAAAAGAATACAAAATGCAGCAGAACAGTATTTGATTAATCAGTTTCCCCACTAGTTATTAAATCTGTGATTTGGCAGAATGAAAGTGAGCTCACCTGGAATGTTTTCAAGTAGTTTTTGCTGTGCTCTCTGTTTTGTCTCTTGCTTTTGTTCATCGCTCTTGGCTCTCGGTGGTGGCGCCAACTTTCCATTTGGCCAAAAAGCATCTCGAAACACACCAATGTAGTAAACAAGCATTGGTTCACTGAACATCCAGTGCACAGTGTCACGAATTTGCCTGTAAAAAAGCACAGAAGGGAGCACATCAGAGCTGGTCTTCATGGTTTATGCAGATTTATTCTTTTTACTCATGAAAGTAGTGGAAAGATGCTGTTTTCCATGTAATTATCCCAACTTTTCTGAGTTGATTTCACCAGCATC